TTTTACTGTGAAAGTCAGTAATTTCAGTTTCACCTTCAATAAAAGAGTAACTGCTGATAACAGTACCTCCCTCAGAAAGCAGATACAGGCACACAGTATCTGGCCCGACCATATCCAAGTAAGCAAGCACCAGGAGGAGCAGCAGCACCTGAACTTGGAGTGCCCTCTGTCCACTTCCTTAATGACTTCCTTCACTTGGATAGTTTTCCATAATCACATCTGACAAAAGTTAAGGACAACTGTATTTGGACTTAACGTCCTACTCTGCCATTTTCTGAAGAATTAATTCTCACTTCCAGGGTTTGCAGTTATCTCCATTCAATGTTAAATTCATGGTTATTCTTAGATCTGTTACTGAAGGAACTTTCAGTCTGGTCACTTGGTTTGTCCATTTCTATATTAGTATACACTGTCTTTAAATATGGAACCTCTATAATGTAATTTAATGGCCAATATGGCACTTTCCTCCTCATTACTTTTCAAAAATTTTGGCAGCCTCTCACACATTTATTCTTTCAGAACAGTTTAGATTTAATTTCCCGGCATTAAAAATAATGCTGGTACACACATGCTCTCTCAGAATTATGTACTCTTGTACACTGACTTTTTTACTTTGAAGGCTCCTATCTAGGAATGTGCTTTTTCCATTTGCTCAAATTTTCTTGTGTTTCTCAGAAAACTTTTATGGTTTTCTTCTGAGATCCCCCCAAACTGTTAGGTGTGTTCCCAAATAGGCAACACTTGCCTTTTTTTTTTTTTTTTCTGCTGTTGTACATGAAATAACTTTCTAGTGATGGAGAGCACATGGATTTCCATATCCATATACACTTGCCCGTTTCTTTTCCTCTGCCAAAGCAGTGGAGATGCAAGTGGGACACAGGTGTGCTCAGAAGCTGGCCTGTGAAGCAAGTGGAAGCGAGGTGTGTGCTCCCCTCCAAACCTTTCACCCCTGCTCTCTACATGATGTGGGTGGCCACCAAAGAGTCTTTTACTGTTGCATTCATTAGCTGTATAAAATCTATGCTAATTTTTAAATTTTTTTTTAAAAAAAAGTACCTTTAGCCTAAGCAATATGTATTTCCACAGAAACAGAGTTAAATTTTTTCCATTAAATCTTTTTTTAATAATAGTTTATTTTTACATATTTTGGTGCTTTAAATCTTTTAATGACAGAAGATGTCCATTTTCTCTATGGAAGACTTCAGTGAATTGGGTATTAGAAGCGAGCCTCTGTCTACCGAGTGAGACACTCTGAGTTCCCTGTTAATTTTCAAGAGTATTATCGTACTATACTTGGTGTTTGCTCCTGGTAATTATCCTTTTACAGAGGAATCCAGGATTGAAGGAATAACTGCTACCATATATGGAGCTCTCCATGTCAGCTCTAACCAAGGGCTTCCACACACTGTCTCAGTGACACTCCTCCCAACAGCACACCTGCTCCCTCTGTCACCCTCCCCAAAGCTGAGGAGATGGAGGCTGCATGGAGTGAAGTTATTCGCATAAGGTCATGCAGGGAGTAAGTATATGGCAAAGCCAGGACCCTAAGCCTCTATTCTTCATTGCTATATTAACATGTGGTTTTAGAGTGACTGGCAAATTCATAATATAGAAAATAAAACAAATTTATTTTAAAAAGTATTAAAGATAAGTTAGTTATCTTTATCTTTAGTTTATCTTTATCACCAATTACAGGTGATACTTGATTCTGAAGGTTACTGATTACAACTCAAAGGTTGGTTTCTTTATGCCACTATAGACCAAAGGTATATCAACCCATTCAGAATAATTAAAGTGATATACCTGAAGAGTCAGCAGCTGACTGGTGTCGAAGTTCATGACCTAGGTCCAAAGTAGTTGGCTCAGTGAAGAAAGTGGTAATAGTTGGGGTGAGAAGTTGCGTATTCGACACAACCCTTTTCTGCTGGGAATGTGGAGCAGGGAGGCAGCTCTTGGCAATAGGAGAGCTGTCAGAAGAAAGTGTGAGGGGAGGGAGGATCCCAAGGAGGGGTCAGAATGGAGTATCAAGTGGTCTTATTGTAAAAGGGAGTTAGACCTGGTTCAAAATGGGACACTGGGCCCCTACCAGAGATAGGGGAGTCAAGTCAAGGCAGGCTTGCTGGGTCAGGTGTCTCTCCCTGCCAAACCCCACCAATGCTTGTTTCAAGAGCTGGACACTCCCGGGGTGCTGGTGGCACCTGAAGGATTCCAGATCCTCATAGGGGATCCTCAGTTGGGAGCTGTTACGGGGTCTGTTGGCTTTTTCTTCTGGTTCAGAAATTGAATTTCACTACAGTGGGAGGGAACGGAACCTGCTTAATATACTCCTCCCTCCCTGTGGTTGGCCTTGTGGCCAGGGGATGTGTCTGCAGGTGGTGGCAGGTGGGCAGGACAGGCATTAGGCTGGAGCAGTGAAGCCCCAGTGCAGGCCTGGCAGGCCCTGCAAAAGACAAGCTGGCTTTGGATCTCTCAAAATTAAGAGAGGACTGGTCCTATTTTCACAGGGGTAGGCCAGGAAACACTGAATGAACATGTATGACCCTCAACCCGATTAGTCAAGTGGCTTGATTTCTAGTTTCACAACTTGGTTGTCCTTTGGAAACTCACATTTGGGTGGTGAAATTTGGACTTTCTAGGCTAAACTCCCTGAGTAACTTGAAATGACCATGCACGGAAAGATGACATTATTATGTTTTAATCAGTAGACAAACTTCCTAAAAAATTACACACTCATATCTGTAGATAAACCCACATTATAAAAGAACTGATATGACACTATCCTGAATCATGTAGTCTTTGCAAATAACCAGCAGACTAAAAATGTCTGAATATAATTCAAACTTTGTAGTGAAAAGTACACCCAGGCTCTGGATTTCCCCCCCTCATTCAGTCATGCATGAAGCAACCCTTTAATGTGAGTCCTTGCCATGTGTCCATTACATGGGGACAGGTCTTCAGAGCAAGTGGCTCCTGATAAAGTAGCCAGACATTTGTACTGGTAGTCTCCCACACTCAGAACGAATGCTTTACGCCTTGCGCTTGTCAAGACTTAGGGGGCCGTTGGAACATCTAGCATGTTTCCTTTAAAAGCCAGAAGAAAAAGGAGGCTCAGAGCAGATGAGGTTGGGGACTCAAAAGGTCATCTAGTGCATAAGATTTGGGTGCCAGGTGTCAATGTAAAGGATGTGAGTTGGTGTCCTCCGTCAGTACCTTGCATGTCAACCTATCTCGGAACTTTCGGAAGCAATTTTCTTCTTTCATCTGCATTCCCACCTTTTACTACAGTAAAAAATTTTATTTATTTATGCATACAGAACTGGGGTATAGGCCAGAGGTGTGGAAGGTGAAAGTATTCAACAGAGCCAGAGGGGGAAACAGAACAGGCAGATGCACTGAAGCACACTGCTGAGGGGAGCAGTGGAAGGTCAGGGGGTCTGTTGTGCTGCATGAGTCACCTCCCTGGCCAGGGATGGAGCTTGTGCCACAATCACTGTGGATAGCCTCATAGTGCTGTGCTTTAAACCTGTTACACCACCAGGGAGGGCCTATTACAATAACATTTTTGAGGGGGAAAAAAGGAGCAAATTAAGGTTGTCTCCCAGTACAGTCGGAGAATAGCCTCCAGGTTAGGAGAGCTGTGCTCCAGGTTTCCATGTGTGGGCCCTGAAATCCAAGCAATGCAGAAGGTGTTAGATGGAGTTGAAATGAGCCCTGTTCTTGAGAGCTTACAGCATAGCTGATTAGATGACAGTTCATTCATCAAACATTTATTAAGCATGTGTGGGGGGAGGTATCATGGTAAGCTGCAACCCCAAATTTCTAAGGAGTTTGCAATAATAGTTAAGCAACTCTCAGTTGAGCAGGACAGTGCAATACCCAATAAATAGTATAAACAAGTGCTCAGAAAATGGAGGGCTCACGGTGGGTGGGATTCACCTGTGGAGGCTTGAAGGTGGTGGTGGACTGAAGCATAACTCCAGACCTTGGCCATTTCTCATACTCATGGTTCTTCTAAAATACCCAGACCAAAGTTCAGTGAAGTGTTAATCAGTCTCTAAAATTCCGGGGGCTTGAGTTCCTCGACGGACGGCACGCTCGTGTGGGGCTGCAGCTTCCTCATCACTCAGCCTCACTCCCTCCTCGCTGCACTCTTGCACTGTTCTGCCACACTCCAGCCAGGCGTGTGCAGCATGTGTGTCAGTACTGTAGTGCCAGTGATACTTTTTCCTTATTTAAAGAAATGTTTTTAGAATTGTAGGTTACATGGCTGAAAAATGAAAAATTATAAAAAATTGAGTGAAGCTTCCTCGCCTTTTCTTAGCCCAGTCTGATTGTTCCCAGATTCTTCCCTGTCCAACCCGTGACTAGTTTATGTAGTCATTCCAGACTTTATAACCATCCAAGAAAACATGAATGTAATTTGATTTCCTCCATTTTTATCCAGAGATGCCTGTCACACATGGGGTTTGAGATCTTAATTTTGCTAAGGACTCTTGCCTAATAGTCCATAGGGCACATTATCATTCATCTTGCAAGACTGTTTAGATGTATCATAATTTAACCAGTTCAGTCTTTGCTATTACAGAGAAAGCTCTAAGGCCTAAACGCACACACAGGTCCTTCAGCAATTAGGTTTTATGATGATTTTAGTGATCAGAGTAGGGGAAAAAATTCTCAACCTAGCATGGCAGTATTTTCTAAATCTGAGTGTCTGTGGATCACTGTAACCCAAAAACCTGAAGAAAACGTCATAGTAGTAGAAATTAGCCCCCACCCCGACTCCTGTATGATAAACAGATTTAATGTTAGAAAGCCCTGAATTTTGCCCCCTGGGTTTTCACTGAGACATTTGGTTTCAAAAGGTTTTATTTGGTAAAGCGATCATTGGGGCATCTGCCACCACCAGTCCTGGACAACTTCACTCTCATAAAACTTAACTCTTCTAGTGTGCCTTTTGGGCCATCTGAAACTCCAATCTTCCCGTGGTTTTGTTTTTGCAGGCGGGCCCACCTTCGCTTGTGCCTGGAGAAGTTGAAGGGGCTGGTACCGCTTGGGCCCGAATCAAGTAGACACACTACCTTGAGTTTATTAACAAAAGCCAAATTGCACATAAAGGTAAGTGTATCCCGGGGGAGTTGCATTAGCTTCCCCTGTGCAGTGAGGGCTGTCTGTTGTATGGGACAGCAAGTGTGTATCTCCAGGACAGTGCTCCCTCTGGATGCTTCCAACCTGCCTCACGGATGAATCACAGGCAGCCCAAACTCAACACATCCAGAACCCAACTGAACATTTCTCACCCCTATGCACCAGGAGTTAAATGGCCACCCAACCATCCGTCAGACTCTGAAGCCAGAAACTCCAGTCGTCTGAGATGGCTCTTGCTCCTTAGTCATCTAAGTCATCTCCAAGACCTAAACATTTCTCAGCCTGCTCTGCTTCTACCTTCACCCGACCACCATCACTGCGGTAAACTCCTCAGATGTCTCTCTGCATTCCTCTACCCTGCCTCCCCGTAGCTGCTCTCCTTGCTTCCTAAGAGCAGTCCTTCTAAACATCTCACCTTATTTCAAATTCTTCTGTGCCTCAGGACACTGTCAGCAGACCTGCTCCAGCTCAGCCTGACCTGGCCCTCCCCTGCCTGTGTTGCGGCCTCTTGCACCCTCTGCTCTCTTCTGCTTCCCCAGCTTTCCGTCCTCACACTTGTCATGCTCTTACCCAGGGCCTTTGTACATGCTGTTTCTCTGCTTGGTCCATTTTCTCCCCCCTCCTTCACCAGTTAATCTTTCATCCTTCAGATCTCAGCACAGGTATCACCCGTTCTGGGAAGCCTTCCCTGACATGACCACCTCCTTCCTGAGATGGTGGGAGTATCACTGGGCATCTCTCTTGCAGTACTCGTCATGGTGGATGGTTGTGTGACTGATGTCCGTCTCCATTGTGGGAATGAATGTACGCTCCGCAACGGAAGCTGTACTTGCTCTGCCTTCCCACCCCACCCGTCTGGCACAGACTCAGCCCTCAGTGTGTTGTTTAAACAGCGAAGGGTAAAAGTAGTATCCCACTTCCTGAGCGCCATGGCCAAATCACCGTTCAGCATGTTTATAGTCTAGTGACTGGTCTAGTGACACATGTCACTTCAGTTATGGCTGGTAGACTGTATGTATACATGACAATTCTGGGGGAAAAAGGACCGGTTTAAAGCGAAAGTTTTTCAATCTTAATCACTTCAATAATGAGTAGCTAGAAGGAAAGTTTGTAAAAACAAGTGGTCTATAGAAATGTGTTTTCTAAGGGCTTTGCTGGACAGCTTGGAATCAGGATTTTCAGGGGACAAGCCACTTTCTGCTAACAAACAAGTTAGTTGAGTGGGCAGGACAAATTACTGTACTGCCATACAGCTGTGTATTTAGAGAAACATTAAGTGGAAATGTATTTAAGCACCAATGCATGCAGCGCCATAGTTGGAACAGATTAGGTGTTTGGGGGATCGCTGCAGACAAGGAGACTTGTTGGGCCTCCTACCTGCATCTTTGCAGTATCAAAGTCAAGGGCTACCAGACTTCCCAGGAGCCCTGTGAAGCTACAGGTCCCCACAGCATGGTCAATACTGAAGTTAGAAGAAAACAGGAGCCACTAACCAGTCATCTTCCTGTCTCTGTGAGAAACTTGCAAGTCACACACCAAATGGCACCTGAAGAAAACTGGCAGATCACACCGCTAGAGCGGAACATGCAGGGTCACTGACAGTTTTGAAATGTGCCTCTGGGCTCCAACTACTACCCCTCTGACTTGCAGAAACTTGAAGACTGTGACAGAAAAGCCATTCACCAAATAGACCAGCTTCAGAGAGAGCAGCGACACCTGAAGAGACAACTGGAGAAGCTGGGCATCGAGCGGATACGGATGGACAGCATCGGCTCCACAGTCTCCTCAGAGCGTTCCGACTCTGACCGGGGTGAGCCCCTCTCCATGCTCATGTCCTCCCCTCCCCGTCCCACAGGCCAGATGCAGAACAGAGAAGAACTATACCTGTATGTGATTGAGGGGCTAGTGTGACCTCCAATACCAAGCCCCTCTCTCCTTTAGCAGTCGAGCACCAGTGTTCAAAGTGGGGCCTGCCTGGGGTCGCTTTGTCACCCAGCCTCAGTTTTCTGAAGATGACCTCACCACTGTCTCTCTCTTGTCCTCCCTACAGAAGAAATAGATGTTGACGTTGAAAGCACAGACTATCTCACGGGGGATCTGGACTGGAGCAGCAGCAGCGTGAGCGACTCCGATGAGCGGGGAAGCATGCAGAGCCTGGGCAGTGATGAGGGCTACTCCAGCTCCAGCATCAAGAGAATAAAGCTCCAGGACAGTCACAAGGTGTGTCTGGGTCTATGAGAGTGGTCACTCGGCTGCCTCCTGGATGGTTCTGTCGGCTCTGATTGGGTAGTGTATCGGACCTGCCTACGATCCCCTTGCACGCCAACTTCAGTGTACCATCTTTACCAAATCAGCTTTGTAAAAGTTTTCAAGGAAGTGCTTAGGATTGTGGGTTTCTGACTGCATCCACTAGCTTCTCTCTCTCCATAGAAAGCCGTCTCTGAGAGACCGTACATTCCAGTCAATTTGAAGCACCCAAGAATTCTTAGCCCGAATAAGCAACTTTCACATCTCAGCAGTTCCCCTCTTTACTGCCCCTGGGTTGTCTACCAGACCTTTCTTAAAAGTTTTCCAGCTCACTATGTTTTTACTTTCCTAGCAGAAATGCCCGAATGTGTCTTGTGCTTAGGAAACTGAAGGAAAGAAACTTTTAAAGCTGAGATCCTAATCTCAGAACTCCAAAGTAAGCTTTGAAAGCAGCATTTGAGAGCACTTAACCGTGGACCTTACCCCAGTGAGGAGTCAGGAATACCTCCAGAAAGCACCCCTCACACCATGCTAACTGCCCAACGCGCGTGTGGAGGAGAGCAGTGTTTCTCACTCTAAAACGGACACCTGATCGCACGTCTCTGGGGTTGCCCAGCTTCTCAAAGTTCCGACCTTGTTTGTTCTCACAAACAAAACGGTACAATCTTTTTTTGTGCGATGCTCTTGGGGCCGCGCTGCGTTCTGCTCTCCCGAGGCACATTTCCCCTCGAAGTCTGTTATGCTACTTGTCTCTGGAACATTTTTTTTTCCTACCTCAGAGATAAATGAGATCTCCATTTCCCACTTAACACAGAGTGATTATGCCTCTTTTTTTCCCCAAATAAGTGACATTTGGTCCAATTCTAATCTATTTTCCTATTTAACTTTCAGCAATAACTGAGCTTTGGCACTAGCTGAGCTAGTGTCCACCACCAGTGAGAGGAAAAGTCCACATTTCTACTGTTGCAGGTGACAGGAGGGGATGGTACAGTGTTACTAGGATTCCTCTCCTTATTTTTGGATATACCCAGAAACTTCTTTATGGAGGCTTTTGGGTTGATAGTTTCAAAGGCTGATTTTTTTTTTTTGGTTATGATTTCTCCCGTAAGTGGTCTCCCACTTTGTAGCATTTTTATTTAAGCTAAAACAGAGCACATGTATATGTACATAAGACACATTAAATCTATAAATACTATTTATTCATTTTATATAAACTAATGTAATGGAAAATAAATTCTTATGACTTTGTGCTTTTATAGATGTTCTAGAAACTTTGTATGTAGGAATCTACAAAATTGACTCATCCCCCTTAATATTTTTGCATTCATATTTTTGAGGTCTTGCTGTTTTCAGCCTCTGGTAAATTTTTTTCATTGAATTTGAACCATTTGTAAAATCTGTGACGCTGAAACAGAGTGTGTGTCACAAAGCGATGAGAACATTCCTAAAACCCACAGATGCGCTGCAACCTAAGGGCTCCACAGATGAAGCAGCAGCGCTGGCCGCCCTGGGCTCCGCCGCCCTGGGCTCCCGCTCCCCACAGGCTCCCGCTCCCCACAGGCTCGCCGCTCCTCCACCTCCACACAGCTAGAGTAAAAGCCCAGACACACTCTGCCAGGAAGCTCGTTCTATACCCGAAGAGCAGATTACTTTTCTGTTGGCTTTCTCATCTGAAAGATTCTTTAATACATTACAACTACTTTAATTGGCAATAGTGGATTTCTAAGTGATTCCAAAGTCATCTGTAATTGTTTTGTTTCTAATTCATATCAACTTTGGGTAGAGGGGAGGAGCAGGCGACACAAAGGATTTTTTTTTAAATCATTGGAAACTTTTCCAATTACCAGCTGAAGATTTGCACTGAAATACAACTTGTATGCCTTTTGCATTTTTTAAGCCTGCCTGAATTAAGCAGAGTGATAATGTTCAAAGAGCCAGCTCAGCCTGTAACATGTTTGAAAAAGATATCTGCACTTTGAGGTCCCTTTTGAATGCCATTCTCCAGACCTCGCAAGCATTGTTAAGTTGCTACGTTCAAGCGCCTCAAGTCCACAACGCTAGATGCTATAAGGCATTGAAAACTCAAGACTTTGGGGAAAGCTTGTGGGCTTATGCTGGGGGAGGGAAGGGAACAAAATTTGTGTATTTGTTTAATTTAGAAATAAGGCATCTAAGAGATGCCATTATTTTCTGTGTTTTAATTGTTGTGCCTTTAAGTTAAATTACACTTTTGTCTTTTGGTTGAAATATGAAATGTACTGTCCCAATATAAAACAGTAATTATTTGACCTTTGCACTGTTTGTCTGGTCCTTTCCAATTTGATAGCGTATAAATGTGGGACTTGATGGAGCTATTATTCTAATGCATTTGTGATAACTGACACCAGGGTTGGACATGACTTTCAAAGCTCGAGGTAGATTGAAACAGCATGTTAGGCAGGCCTCTCTCTAACCAAAACTAACTTCCAGGACCAGCAAACTCAGCCCAAGGCAGCTGATCCCCTTACCCACACGGCTGATGGACAGCCCTGACTCACCGATCTGTCCTCATTCACTGAGCCACCAGCACGATTGTTCTGAGCTGTACATTTTTTTTTTTTTAAAGCGAAATAGAAGCATTTCTATTAGTGTTGTTTGGGGGAAGCAGGGGGAGGGGGGCAAATATATAAACCCCAGCCTTTAAGACTTTGACAATTGTACGTAAATATAGATGTGTATAAATATAGGCACGTGCATATTTTTATGTGAAAGTTGATTTTAAGAAATTAAATCTAAACTACATTTATTGATACCATTGCAATGCAAATGGGAAAATATAAGACTACATAGTTCAATTTAATTTCATGCAGTAAGAAAATATGTGTGTGTGCTTCTGCTACCACCCAGAAAGCACGGCTTGCTGGCTTAAAGTGGTGGGCTGAGCACCCAGAGTATTTTTGTTTGGATTTTTTGCTAAGCTGAGATCTTGAATTTCAGGTGCTGATGGTGACTGTCAGCAATTTTCTGTAGTCACAGATCTAATGCCAATTAATGATTCAAAGAGCATCATATCTCTGAGCAGGACCTAGTTCCTTCTCCCTGCCGATCCAAGACCAAAATAACTTCAGTGTCAATTCAGAACTGAGGACTAAGTAGGCCCTGACTCCGCAATCGGTCCCTTGAGTGGTCTCAGTTTATTTCTAAGATGGGCATTTCCTTTAACCTTTTTTCAAAAGAAACAAAGTTCTCACCTGGGGTTCCGTAGGCATCCCCTCTCCGTTCCCAAGTGGCCATGCCGAGAGTTAATCCTAAAGTTGGAGGGGGGGAAGGTTGCAGGGAAAGAAATGTGAACTAGGTAGACTGTGATGCTCAGAGCAACTGGCTAACGATATCTTGGGGTTTGCTAATGGATTTTATGGGGGTTTTTTCCTTCTTGCCTCTCCCCCATCCTTAAAAGAGAAAACTTATTTTTAAAAAGTATATATACACATACATTATTTAGGTTTTTATATTGTACTGCATTGGCAAGAATACCATTTTCATTGTGCTTATGATCATTTACTCCCCTGAAACTCATTCTCTTATTTTTCAAGTTTGTCTTTCCTTTACCTGCCCTGTGTGTTGAACACCAGGAAGTCAAAGACTCCAAGACAATTTCCTGCATGTCAGTCTTTTTTTTATGTCTGACTCTTGGATGCTGTATGTTTAGGTAGCTGGCTACTCCCGACTTAAAAGTCCTCCTACGGGAAGATGACCTAAAGACCCTTTAAATAAGATGGTTTTCCTCTTCAGATAAGATCTCTAGACTATGGGATGTTTTGTTTTCAAAGCTATCTGGGGGTAGGAGTGCAATATATGATTTTATCATGTTTTTCACTAACATTACATGGGATGAATTTCTTTTATTCTTCTGAAAGAAATATTTGCCTGGCTCTGCTAGATTCAGCTACTGAATAGCTAAAGAAATTGAGTGTCTTCTCTCAAAAATCACAGAATGAGAACTAATGCATCCAATTTAAGTTTTATCCAGATTTTTAATTTTGATTACTTATTCTATCTGGGAGAGTAGGGATTTAAGAGGATAGCTTTAGCTTTTACCTGAGAATCAAATTTGCCTTTACCCCCATCCCTAGATTGGTGCTTTGGGGGTACCGTCAACCATCATGTTAGGGGCATCTTCCTCATGGTGAACGCAACCTGAACAGGGAGCAGCATATGAGTGTGAAATTCTTTCCAGATGTTCATTTCTTTATGTAAATACGCCAATGTAAATCCTGTGTCAAGACATAGAGAATGGTGCTTTTTACTACAGTTAGCACATGCATTTTTAGAACTTCATGTTTTAGAGAATCTTTGCTGTGTATATGTAAACTTCTATATTGTTCAACTGTTAACAAATAATAAATTATTTCATTATGAAAGAAATGTTGGTCTTCCTGCTGTTTTGTGCCCAATTTAATCTCTTGTGGTATTCACCTACAGAACTCAGTTCACAGATCTTTTTAATTTCTTGGAAAATTCATTGGCTAAAAGTAGTCAACCTTTGGAGTCTATCATACGAATTTCAATTGTGTGACTCTGGCTAAAACAATTTGTCCCTCAGCTACCCCACTTACCCATTTATGCTGCTCATGTGCTGGCCCTCGGCCTCCTCTCTTCCATGAGGCCTGTGATGTACTGGCAACGTACCAGGTATGTGGGACCAGCAAGATCACTTCCTGTGGCTGGGGCGTGGCCTGGAGACCAGTGGTCATGGGTGGGGTAGGGGCTACCTTCTGGGAAGACACCAAGCTGTGAAAGACCCTATATACCACACAATTCACAAAGGGAAGAAAAAGACACCCGGTTTGCATATTAACTCCTTTAGTTAATTTTCATTTATTCTTTTAACAAAGGGGGACTGAACACCTCTGTTCCAGTCTCTTACAGAGCTGAAGCCACATCAATGAACAAAACACCAAATCCCTGAGCTCGGAGCTGCCTTTGGACTGTGACCTCCTGGAGCATCATCCTGACCAGTCCTGATCAGGGTTCGCACCCCAGAAAAGCGCCTGTGTAGAGTTGAGTAAGCAAAGAGGTAGCTTTCTCCTTCATGACCAGTGACTCCAAAACCAACTAAAAAATTTGAAAGGTGTGTAGAGTTCCCTAGAAGTCAGTGTGTGCTGGCCAGGAAGATGAGAGATCAGTCCTCCGGAACTCTACTTGGGAAAGAGCAGTGGACTCTTCTACTCTCTGTGACTCAGGGGCAGCATGCTGGGCTCTTCCTGAGCATGCAATTCCAGGGTCCATCTCTGGACAGTTTCCAAATTGAACCCACAAAAAACAAATTGTTAACAACACCAAAGAAAGCACAGTTCTTCACAAATCAGGATCCCTGTTTACTGTGGCCGAGAAGAAGCATTCAACAGCATAGAATTAAAACAACGCTCACAGAGAAATGGTGCCTCACAGCCCCAAAGATGATAAATCTCATTTCCAGGTTTCTGTACTTTGTTCTCAGAAGCCTGATAGAAAGTGTCCTTCATGGTTTCATGTCATAATCATGGTCATCACATATGTACTGAGATACAGGGCTAAAGAAGTTCACGGAAGGCCTCCCTGGTGGTTCAGGGGTTAAAGTCTGAGCACTATGAAGTTTGGCCAGCCATAGTGGCATAAGTTCGATTCCCCACCAGGAAGCTGGCCTCTCCTCTCCTGTCCCACCCACTGTCCCCCAACCCCAGCAGTGTATTTCAGTAGATCTGCCTGTTCTGCTCCCCTCTGTCTCTGGTGAATTTTCTCACCTCTCCTCCTAGCTTAGGCCCCAGTTCTTGCATGCAAAAATAAAATAAATCTTTTGAGAGGAAAAAGAGTTCACTGAGGCCCTGGAGATGTTCTGGACCTAATCTGGGGACATAGGTGACCGATGATGGTCAAGGCAGAGGAATTCTGTGCCACTGCTGTGCCAGTCCTGAATATGTCTACCTTCAAGGAAACCCATGGCTCTAGGATAGAAGGAACCTGGGCAGCCCAGGGGACAGAGGGAAGTGAGATGCACACAGCCATCCACAGAGCCAGGCTGTGGAGCTGCTTCTGTTGGAGAGACCCAATGATCACTAGCTGGAGAGTTCATTTAGTTAAAATCAATGTCTGACAAACTCTTCCTTGCCTACCTGATAGCCCTCCCAGTGCTAAGGGGTGATTGTCAGGAAACAGTGGAGCTACTTC